GTCTCCTGCAAACTCCACTCCCCTTTCGCTCCTCTTTGATTTCCTCTGGGAGGGGTCATTCATCGTCTGGCCTTATTCCCAAGTCGACCCCTGTTCTTTAGCTGTTCCCTTCATTTGGCAACTCTGCACATGCGCAGATTGGGCCCCCTCTCTGCCTCCGACACAGACTCCAGGACTGGCCCCTGTTCTTCCTCAACCTCCTCGCTGTCCAAATCTGCTGCCAGCTCTGCTGGCTGCTGGTGGACCACAACAGAAGGTGATTACCTGACTCTAGGAGAGCAACCATTATAAATATGAATTAATTGCCAAGCATCTGAATTTGGATCACGTAATCATGGGGATGCTGCAATGGTCGTAAGTGTGAAAAATGGGCCCAAGTCATTTTTTTTTCATGCTTTCGAAAAGTCAGTAAAATTGTTTTAAGTCAAGGACTATCTGTACAACGAAATCACCACGAAACAAGATGGCACAAATGGCTTTTCTGAACAATGTCAAACGTTTCTTGGATGTGTAATGAAGCCTCTTCAAGATAGATAATTAGGTACGAAGTGTTCAGAGGATAATCTATAAAATCAAAAAAAACCCATCAAATTTCCTCTCAAAGTTGACCAAGATTGAGTCTTCCTTTCTGAGCCACAAATAGCAGACAAAAACCACTTCTCACCTAAATTCATCCCTTACTGTCACTTCAAGGCAGACTGAAAAAGGAAACTCTACTTTTGAGTAGAATAACTTGAGGGAGAAAATATGACTCTACAAAATGAGAGGAACAGATGTTGGTTTGCTTTCAACTTTAGTCCTGAAAGCACTTCTTCGTGCAACATTTTGAATGCCCTCCACTCAAGTGAAGAGCCCCTAGAAAATACAAGAAAAGCAAAAGAACAAAACCATCGCTTCAATACCTTTCTTCATATTTTCTCCCATTAGGCTGTTAAATAAATTCCAAGCTCCAAATCATTGCTATAATCAAATTCAATAATAAATCATTGCTATAGTCAAATTCAACAATAACAAAAGTCTACACGGTAATCTTAGGTATCTAATCTTTCCTCCTCAATATTTGATCTCAATAACTGGATATCAAATATTTTAAATTTAGTTTTACAGACTCTTAAAATTACTGCCTTCAGGGCTTCCAGAACTTCCATTGCCTTTTCACAACTGGGAAATGGAAGTGACTGATGAAGGGAAAGGAAGTGAGAGGGGAGGATGAAGATGGAGACAGAAGTAGGAAATTCCAGGTCCTGATGATCCTCACACTCCCCAGATCTTAAGTATATTTTGGAAGACTTCCAATTCTAATCAGCTATGCTTTTCTCAAATACCATATTTTTCATAGTATAAGACGCACCTTTCCCCCCCCCTCAAAAAAAGAGGCTGAAAATCTGGGTGTGTCTTATACACTGAATACAGCATTTTTTGCCTCCTGAAACCCTGCTCCCCTTCACCAAAATGGTCGTGCATAGCCTTTAGACTCCCAGAATGCTTGCGGAGCTGGGGAGGACAAAAATGAGTGAAAAACGGTCTGTTTTTTGCTCAATTCCCCCCCTCCCATATTTCCCAGGAGCAGTCTATAAGCCTCCTAAAGGCTATTCATACCCTCCTTTTTTTTTNCACCGAAGCAGTAAGCATGAGCTTAAATGGACTCCAGAGGAGCGTAGAGGACAGGAAGGCCTGGAGGAACGTTGTCCATGGGGTCGCGATGGGTCGAACACGACTGCGCAACTAACAACCATTCCCGCTGGAAGATATTTCCTTCAGATTGCAGTCTTTGTGTATTGATGCTTTTAGGGGCTTTCCCATAATAGTGTCAAATCTATCTGAAAAATAATTGACAAAATATATACATTTTTTTATTTACGTAACTTTATTAATCCACCTTAAGATACAAAAGAAGCAAAAGAAAATCAGGAAAGAAAGAAAATGGGGTATTATAAGATACAGCAGAATGGGAACCTCCCTCCTAAAAGGTCTTCAGAAATGAAAAGCAAATTTATTCGTAGGACACAATCATTATAATGCAACTGAACAAAAACAGTGTGGTCCAAAACAAGGAATCCAATGAAAAACAAAAACAAGTTGAACAAAACAAGGAAGTCTTCATTCCATCTGCCATTTTCTTCCCTCACAACCATCTCAGAATGACAAATGAGTTTCACAGAAGATTAGCCATCTTTATAAACAGTTACTGGACCACAAAATTCTCTCTTGCAAGACAGCAACATCAATCTCCCATGGATTTCTACAAGATGAGCCTTTGAAATATCTTGATATGCAGTTTGATCACGAAGTCCAAGCCTCAAACCCATCAAACTGTCTTCATGGACAAATTATTGAATTTATGAGGAAATTTAGACCTTCTCGGTCAAAGGAGGACAGCTGGTAAGCTGTGTGTGGCTCTCGCAATAACCTTCTGCAGATCTAGTTCAGTTTCTTGTTGAACTTGGTATGGTAGGTTTTCTTCTGAAATTGACTGGGAAAATACTACTTTAAGAACTGCAACATTTAACGTGAGAGTAGGCTAAAAATATGTTTTTCTCCCTTGCCTATTTTTTCCATCCTGATCCTGCCTACTATTTAGTGGCATGTTAAACATTTTGAGTTTGCAACAACTGTCCCAAAATTACTGGATGCACTGTGCCCATTTTGGAAAATATTCTAAATTCCAAATAGATCTCCTTGCAGAACAGAAGTATTGAAATACTTCTAAAAAGCTCAGAGCAGTATGTCTTCATCTCAAGACAACTGTTTGAAACTTAAAATGTTTTGCACACTTTTTTTCTTTTAGTGCAGAACTGGCAGACCATTGAAATTTTAGCTCTTGATCTTAGTTGTATGTTTAAATCTATTTTAAAAGGGAAATCAAAGGAAAAAAATACATTAAGGGCTACTGTGATAATCATGCAATCATGACAAGTATACTACCGTATATGATTTGGCCTCCTGCACTAAGCAAAAGACAGAATTTATGACATGCAGACTTTTGAGACTTGAATATCCCAAAATTCCATTTTCTGAGTTCTGTTTGAGATTCACGCAGAAGAAAAAAAATCCAACACAAATGTTTTTCAATTGTGATGTTTTGATTGGGCCTAATAAAGGTCCCAAAGCTATTTCAACCTGATAAGCTACTCTTTTGTTTCAAGACCAATCCAGGAAGAAGCCAAAATGTTTATATAGAACTGGACTTTATCTCTGCTTTAAAAGCCCACTAATGTTATTCTTTATTTGTAATGCACTACTCAACTTCCACTGGAACTTATTATTTACAGAAATTGTTCCTGCTTCAATGCAAACTATTTGAATTCCATATCTCACTGAATCCCTTGGACTGCAAGGCAATCAAAAGGGTCAGTCCTAGAGGAGATCAACCCTGACTGCTCTTTAGAAGGCCAGATCCTGAAGATGAAACTCAAATACTTTGGCCACCTAATGAGAAAGAAGGATTCACTGGAGACGAGCCTAAAGATTGAGGGCAAAAGAAGAATGGGACGACAGAGAATGAGGTGGCTGGATGAAGTCACTGAAGCAGTAGGGGTGAACTTAAATGGACTCCAGAGGATGGTAGAGAACAGGAAGGCCTGGAGGAACGTTGTCCATGGGGTCGCAATGGGTCGGACATGACTTCGCAACTAACAACAACAACAAGCTCACAGAGAGTGAGAGGGAGTGTAGCTGGACCCTAGCATGGGCTTTTAGAGCACAGCCTTTCTACAGATGCTACTATGAGGAATATGATAATGACCTATTAATGTTTTGGGGTGTTACCAGCAGAAAATATTTATAAACTGCTAAGTTAGATTACTTTGTTCAGGAAATTCAAATAAGCAAAACAGCCAAGTTATTATAAAAAAAATAAGTGAAAACTTTATTCATCAAAGTTACAAGGAGAAAAAAACAACAACTATTTGTAACAACCCATTTATGTCCTTTACCCAAAACTGTAAAGAAAATCATGGATATTCATAGAGAACCTTGAAAATACTGGATAATGGAAGTTTGCCCAGCTTTTGAAGGAAGCTAAAGTTGCTTGTAGATCTTCAGTTCAACTTCACGGTGGCTTTCCATCTGCTCTTCTGTTTTCATCTGGTGACTAATCTGTATAAAACAAATTTGACAGTATGTTTAGTTTGGTATTTATTTGCCTACTCTACTAATTCCCCTCTTGTTATCCTCCCAAGATCAATTCTAAAGCATTCCTCAAAACTGATGCCCTAAAATACAAAGGTAATTGATTACACGTTCTTCCTTTTTTGCTACTTAAAAGGGAGAACATTTGTAAATTCTCCACATGGAAACTCTGCCTCCATCTTTACCCTAAATTAGCTTTTTTCTTGTCCCAACCAACCTCATGTAATTCATCCTCACACATGTACATACCTATGCATAAATCAATGAAAGGTGTCATCTTTGCTTCATCGACAGGGTTCACGGTTTTTCCATGCTTTCCCAGTAACATTCTATAATTATCCATAACTTTCATTCTCCTGCTGTTTCCATCGTTCCATCTCTATTTTCATTTTATCGCTCGGAGTATTTTAATGCAATCCAAATCTGTGCTTTATAGGTTATTCAGAAACAGAGTTACAGTGGCCATCAATGACAGAAAAAAATTCCTCGTTCATAACTCACAAAGTGATGAGTGTACATGGTCCATGATGCTCCATTCACTGCCATATGATCAAGCTTCAAACACAAGGGTAAAAAATCTATACGGGTAGTCCTCGAGGTAAGACCACAATTAAAGTGACATTTCTGGTGCTAAGAGACAGTTGTTAAGTGAATTTTGCTCCGTTTTAATGCCTTTCTTGCCGCATTTGTTAAGTGAATCACTACAGTTGTTAAATTAGTTACAAGGCTTTTAAGTGACTCTCGTGTGTCACCGACTTTGCTTGTCAGAAGGCGTTCTGACCTAGACTGCCCAAGAGCATGAAGCACCCTCCTTGTCCTGACCAAAATCCCTTTTATTGATTTACTGTGAATTCTTCTCATTTGCATCCAACAAAGTCTTTCAAGGGAGGATTTACAGTCACAAACCATATCTGGCTTGGAGAGCTGACAGGCCAATATCAGCAAAACTTGGCAAGAAGTCTCGGAGAGTCACAAACCAATTAAGCGAACTAGTTGTCTCCTGCAAACTCCACTCCCCTTTCGCTCCTCTTCCTCTTCCTCTGGGAGTGGTCATTCATCGTTCACCTGTGGCCTTACTCC